GAACAATATTGCTTCCGTTCAAGTGAAGTTGAGATGGCGTCTACTACTCTATGCACTTGATGGATTGTGCTGTGCTTGGCTCTAAAGCCGAATTGTGATGGGGGAAGAATATTGTTGTTATTGATGTGGAAAAACATTCTTTGCAGAATTAGTCTTTCGCAAATTTTAGAAAAAAAAGGTAAGAGACTTATAGGTCTGTAAGAGTCCGGTGAGTCTGGAGGTTTGTTAGGTTTGGCAAACATTACAATTTGAGAAAATTTCCATAAGGAAGGAAAATATGATAATCGTAGAATTGCATTTATTATGTATGTTAAGAAGACTATGGCTTTTGTTGGTAAGCATTTTGTAACTTCGGCGGTTATAAGATCGAAGCCGGGTGATTTTTTGTTTGGGTATTTCAGAATAGTGTTTTTCACTTCGTTTGGGGTGACAAATTTAGTTGGAGGCCCATAGGGTAATGGAGAGTCGAGGTATTTTTTAACATTGTCTAGATGTTGTTGGTCGTATATATTAGCGTGAGGTTGGAAGATATTTGATAAGTGTGATTGAAACAAGATTGATTTTTCTGAGTCAGTAATAGCTAGGGTGTTGTCGGATTTTTTTAGGGGGGTTGAGATGGATTTAAATTTTAGAAGTTGTTTGGTTTCGTTCCAGAGGCTACCATTTGCAGCTGAGAGTTGATGTAGTTTTTTTTCAAGGCTATTGGCTTTATGTTTAGCAAGGATTTTTTTCAGGGAATTCGCAAGTTTGTTGTAGACGGATTTATGTGATGGAAGACGGGAGAGTTGATAAGTTGCTCTTGCCCTACGTTTTTCAGTAATTAAACTTCTAATTTCTTCCGGAAGTAAGAAGTAATTAGAATTTGAGTTATTTTTGATTGAGCTAATGGTTTTATCAGGTTTTGTGGAAGTCCACGCGGCCTGTTGTATGAGTGTTGTTAAATTGTTGACAGCTTCGTCAATATCTGAGGTTGTCTTTAATTTAGTTTTTAGATCGATTTTTCCTTCAATTATGTCATGGAATTTTTTATGATCAGTTTGGTTGGTGAACAGTTTAGGTGGATCAGTACGTGTTAGCGGAGTGGCTGAGATAGTGAGTAGGACTGAAGAGTGGTCGGAGTTTAGATCAAGGATATTGACAGTGGAACAATGTAAGTTGCTGGGAATTTTGGCAGCAAAAATGTCTAGGATGTCAGGGTTCTTATTTGGCGCGGTTGGCCAATATGTAGGACCCGGGGGGGCAAGAACATTGATGTGCCTTTCGTTTGTAAGGTTGTAAAGTACAATACCACGAGGGTTGTTGACGCGGCAACCCCAGCTCTGATGTTTTGCGTTGTAATCGCCACCGATAATAAAATTAGTTTTAATTGTGTTAAAATAATCATTAAGTATTGCTCTAGTTATTTTGTGTCGAGGGGGGGAGTAGAATGCACCGATAGTGATTGGGATTTTGTTCAATTTAATTAATATTGAGCAAGATTGGATATGATCATAACTATAATTAGGAAGAAGCTGATAATATAAGGAGGTTTTGATTAAAATGGCGACTCCACCATGTGCAGTGTTGTCAGGGTGATTGGTTTTTATTAGTTTATATCCAGGGATGAAAATGTATGAGTATTTAGTAAAATGAGTTTCAGTTATAATTGCTATGTCTATTCGCCTATTGTGGAGAACAGTTTGGAGTTCGTTTGAATGGTTTTTGAGGCCGTTTGCATTAAACTGTAAAATTAAGAGTGAGTTATTTGTGGCTGAAGAAGTCATTTAGATTTATCGAGCAGACTGGAAATTACTGTGGTGAGTAGTGAAATTAACGGATTTATTAGAGTTTTGAAATCGTTTAAGAAACTTGACATTAGATGAGATAGATTTGTTTCTGCAGATGGTGAGTTATCTTGAGTTGTTGGAGTGGAATTGGAGCGTGAGAATTGATTAGAGGTTACCTTGGCATAAGTAAGGGGAGGAGCTGTAGGAGGGACTGAGTTAATGTGTTCTGATGGATGACTATCTTTTACAAGGTTAGACTTAAGACTAGGGTGTTTGTTATCAAAAATAAATTTGTTGTTATTTGAGCTGGGTTTCTTACGGTACTGGAGCTCTTTATACACTGAGCAGCCTTTATAGTTGGCAGGATGGCTTTCTTGGCAGAGAGCACAGCATGGAGGTTCGTCGCGGGTTTTTTGACAATAGCTTATCTATATAAAAATTATTTTACAATGTTTGACTACTTTTTCAGTGTAAAAAATGTACAATTTTAAATAAATTCAAACAATATCTTTAAATATATTACGGTAGGAAAGTGAATCTAGTTGATAATTTAAAGGCAATGGGGAGGTTTTAAAAGTGGAATATAATTTATTTTCTAAATGTTTATATAAGCATTTTCTATAGGTACATGGTATAATTTTCAAAGTATTCCTTTTGTCATAGTGGATTAATCTATTTTTTTTTTTTTTTTTGAAAAAATATATCATGTAAAATATAAAATAATTATTATAATATTTTTTTTTATGTAATATAGTACTAGCTGTTATTAAAATAATAACATATGAGTCAATACTACCAACATAGGTACCGTAAAATGATCGTATGAATAGATTTGTCATATTAAAGCTTAAAATTAAACTTAACATTTTAAAAATGGCGGTTTTCTAAAATAAATAATGAAGTTCATAGCAGTGAAAAGTTTCAGGTTCCTACAACTTTATCCCTTTTAATTTTCAGGAAAAAAAATCTTGTATTTATTAATTTTTTTAAACTTTAGGTATTACAACAATAAATTTCATGGATTTTTAATTATAAAATAATTTTAAAATTATCGTATTGAATTACCTATATCAAAATGTAGTAAATGTAATTTATAAATATTTGACAGAACAAAAAAAAAAAGCAAATAATAATAAAAATGTATCAACATAATAAAAAGTTAAAGATTTAAATCAGCATAGGAACATTTTTCGGCTCTAAAGCATGATGACTAAAAAAATATTTTTAAAAAAAACACACATTATAGATATAAATTTATAAAACAAATAATAAGTATCTATATATTCATCAATCGACTTAGAATCTAAAATACAAAACTTAACAAAAAAAAAAATGTATTATAAAATAAGTTTAAATATTATAAAAGTAAGAGGAAGGAGGAGGTTACACATTAATCTTTTACTTCACTAGTAAAATAGTAAATGTAGCATTGCTGGAAGGCAATTTGATGTGAGACGGTAAAATAATTACAAACATGCAGAAGCACAATCTCCGAGTTTTTATATAATTCAATTTTCACAGTTTTGTGAAGACATCTAATGATGTCTGTGTGTAATGAGAATCGTTTAAAAAGTTTAAAACCGGTATTATAATAATAGGCATGTAGAAAAGATCAAAACATACATTTGTAAACACAACTAATAATATTATTGGAACCCGATACCACGAATGGTTATAGACTTAAAGCTAGACGGTATCACGGAGAAATAAATTACTTAAATATTATACTTATATTCCATTATAATATATTAAGAATAACAGCTACTATATTACTGCAGTATTAATATACATAATATAATGATCAAAATTATATAGTTGTTTAGATTACGTACTTGGTATATGATGAAAGTACTTTGTATTTACTATGTTTATTTTACAATATTGTTATTTTAATAAGTGGTTGAATTGCTTAAATAAATAAATAATATTTTTAATACTATTTTTAGGCATTATAAAATTATTTGAATAATTATTATAATACATTTATTATTTAACTAATCTGTTACAGTAATTCAGACTAATTTTACAGCTATTGCCTATTAAGCTACTCCAATCAGTGGTAATAAACGTAAAATATTAAAATATGTACACAAATAAACTTTGGAGCTAATGCTGTTATGATATAATATACTAACAACTAACATAATACCAATTGACTGTCACAACCATTGCAACAATCATGTTTTACTATATCATTGTGTGCCGATCCAGCCATATAGGTACAATTATTCAAGACATTGGCACTCGACAAGTTCAACAGACAACAATAAAAAATTATAGTCTCCACTCATCACGCTTTAAAACCAAAACGAACAATAATAAATCAAATTAAACTTACTTTAAAATCAAGTTATTTAAAATATTAAATATTATTTATTAATATTTGATATTATTTAATATAATTAAATTACTTTTAGAAAAAATATATTCAAAATCTAAATTAAAAAAAAACAATATAGAGGTATAATCGCATAAACATGGTTACTGGGTTTTAAAATTACAAATATCACAGATTACTAGCAAATAGCAGAGTTAAACCAAATAATATAATACAACTTGTTTATGAAAAGTTAATATGTATTTATAGGCGTATTAAAATTGTGTAAGCTATTATAAATATTAATAACATAATTTATCATATAGATAGACAATATTCGAGTTTCGAGCTAAGCTTGAACACTGGTTTTTACTTTTATTACTATGGACACAGAATGGATATCCTACCTATATAATTCTATCCTAATATCCCTTAATATATCCATCAGTACAATAATTATTCTGAAAGCGTCCAATGTTCGACACTTGCCAATAATATGTGTGTGTATTAATTGTTGACGTTGGAACATCGGGCGAAGAGGGTACAGAAAAAAAAAAACAACAAAATTTGTGCAAAAATACGATTGTGTCACAGATGCATGGGGAGCGACGACCCGCGGCGCACGCACACATGCAGCTGTTGACTTTTCACGGGTCTAATTAATATTGTTATAGACAATAATGATGATGATAATAATAATAATAACAATAATAAGTAATAATACGTACGTGTGTTTACAATAATTATTCAAAATAATATAATACAAGTGTTGTAGGTACGTGTTCATAACATACGTCGTCCGCCCGTATCGACGCGCAGCGCGTCAACGGTGAAAAGAAGAAGGGCTTCGGCGTACTTTTTATTTTGTTTAATTATTATCATTATTATTTTCGTCGACGGCGCGTCGCGTACTCGCGTGCAGTTGCTGTCAGTAGTCCGCAGGTACGCAACGTGTTCGGGCGACTGGCTGTCTGTGCGTGTGCGCGAGCGCGATAGTAAGTGTGTACCTATTTATTATATTATTATTATCATCATTGATATTATTGTTATAATAATATTATAATCACACGAGATCGTGTTGAAAATCGACAACATAATATCAAGTCACGCGCAAGTATTACGCTGTTTGGACCGGGTAACTGTTTGGCCTAACCTAACCGGGTAACAGTGAAAAATCGCGTCACTACAGTTATCGTAATAATATCATATTACTATTATATTATTATTATTATTATTATCAAACCGTTAAAACCGCCAGACGTGCCTAACCCACGGTTTTTGGCGTACAAATACTTCGACTTAGATCGTGGTCCAAAGCGAACAAATTGCGGTCTGCCTAGCAACGTAACTTAAACTTCGGCAATTGATAAGTGATAACCACTTCGAACGCATAACATAAGACTTATCTGTCAGAAAAATCGGAAGAGTTTCACCGGAGAAGACTACGCGATAACAAGAGAACCTTTAGCAGAAAACCGGCGGCAGCGACGACAACGCGTTCTCGAGGCATCCCCCGTCACGTCATATATGGTAAGCGGAAACGTAAAAAATAAAAATAAAAACAAACGGTTTTAACATAAAAGATCGAAAAAATTAGATAGGCCCTATACAAGCTTTACCTCTACACGAAAGTCCGAAATTGATTATGATAACAAGTAGCCGGGGCTCGTAATGCGATGGTATGTCAAAAAACGAGTTTTGCGTTTTTTATTTTCTTTAATTTTTTCTTGGCCCTTATTAAATTTTATGACGTTCCAACGAACGTCATAAAATTGGGTATAATAGGTAGGTACTATAAAATATATATTATGTAAAACTATAATACCTACTGTTAACCGTAAATTTATGATTCTTTTTATTTTTCAAACCGGTAGGAGATCAAAGCAGAGCCCCGGTCGTGCGATCTTAAACTTACATAGTATTATGCTATGACGTTGTAATTTTTCGCGATCAGTATTTATATAGTCCACAACAAGTGTAATACATATCTTTTAAGTGTACCAACATTATAAGTACGAATGTATAATATCATTATATAGGTTCAGTTTGATTTGTAGTTAGTAGCTTTCCGCAGAAAAAAATTCATGGCTTGTTCACTTGGGCATATTTATTATTTTATTCGCTTAAATCGGATAACATACACATGTAAATAAATGTTGCAGTTATCAAAATATACGATTTATTTACTATTATTATCGTAAGTTACTTTTCTATCCGGTTGTTGATAGGTACCTACCTCTTTACGAGAAAAGTTCATACTTGTACGTACACGAGAATTTTTTGGACAAACTCATTTAATAAAAACCGTAGAATTTAATCACAATGATATTAAATTAATTTTATAGTTTATATGAATAACCATTATAGTATTATGAGTTATCAAAGCAAGTAGTGTTTTATTTACCTATTAAAACAACCACTGAGTTATTTAATGAAAACTAAAAATAATGTTCAACGTGATCAACTTGAGTAGTTATATACATTTTACCATATTTTACTATTTTAATTATGTACTTGTGCAAAATCTATTCAATATCATAGAATAAAAAAATGTTTACTATCAACACGTATCACATTACTTAAGTATTTGTAATTTGTAATTGTTTCTATTGCCATACATTAGAAACATATCAATTTAATTTAATTTCGCAACAAAAATATTTACCTCAATAGCCAAATACATTATGTTAAAAACTTTTAATTAACGTTATCTAAAGAAAAAAAAAGAAAAAATAAATACGTTCTCTGCTTTTATTAATGTGATAAACTATTTTTAATAATAAGGTAAAATTAATATTGGTTATAATTTGAAGTTGATACTATTTCGGTAAATTATGCTTTTTTTATTATGGTTCTATATGGTACTTTTTGATTGTAGTAGCTTATTTCTAAAAAATTTTACTATCAAAAGATACATTTCATGTAAACAAAATTAAACTGAACATTAATTACAGGTTTAACTACCTATGTTTAATACTTTTCCTATACTTATTATACCATGTCGTCATGTTTAAATACCTAATTGGAATTTTATTCATTTTATTATAAAATTTGAATATTATCATTATATAAAAATTATTTTAAATAAAATTACCATTAGCCAATTACTAAGACTATGTATTTTGATCAATGGCTGTATTATAAATTATCAGATCGTATACTGGAATAATAAATAATTATATACCAAGAATATCTGTAAAAATTTATAATTTATTGAAATTTTATATTATTTATTTTCCCAGCAACTATTACAACAAATTGTTGTTAGTCAAAATGTAAACTCTAATTTTAAATAATAAATAAAGTTATAAAGCATTCTTAATGAAGGATTCGATATAGAATACCTTATTATAATTAATAAATATGTATCTCTAGTATCTAGTAAATTTTTATAATGAATCAATTTCCAATATTTCTACAAGCTTGTAAATATTATATATTCATATAAGTAGTAATAGTAAATAGTAATAATTATTTAATAAGTTCCAATTCTAAATGGAATCAATAGATACTTAAATTGAGAATTTATAATGAAATCTTTTAACTTGGTGTACCCACTTATTTACGCATGTTTTCATTCAGCAATTAACGAATTTTTGTCAATAACCAACCCAACACGCACACGACGAACACCACTTGTTTATACATAGAAAATATGCAATAAAAAAATGTATACCTTTATAGGTACCATTTAAATATACCTATAATGATTCGATTTAATAACGAACTCGTTACATCTATTACATTCTAGCATGATTAATTATACTTTTCAATTCATTTTTAACTAATATATACATTTTTTGAGTTTTATACTAATGTAAAATATAATTCAATATTCATTAAGTACAAAATGTTAATTTTTACAAGATCTTTCTTTATATAAATATTTTATAATAAATAGTTTTTTTAAAACAATTGTAATCACTATACGCTAACTATATTATGGATATAATAATTATTTTATAATTTGATGATGGAAGTAAATAATAATGACGATGTCATTTTAGAAATACTTTAACCTTGTCATACCTTACAAAATATAGCATTAGGTACTTTGAATACTAATTTAACGTATACCATATCGATTGTTGTCATAGTTTTCCGGATTATAAATAGTTGATTATTGAGATATTAATATTTCACTCACAATCTCACAATGTTATTGTGGTAAACGTAGCATAGGTACAATATAAATGTGCAGTACAATACATAATGTATAATATCACGATAAAATTAATGAGATGACTATACTCATAGTTCATAGATTTTAAATTAGTTAAAATTTAATTTTACATTAATTTATTTTCAACAATTTTGCTTTCAAACTGTTTTATAAATTTGTTAAATTTAAAAACATGTTTGAAAAATCAACGAGACGATTTTTAAAAAATCTTAAGTAAAACTGTATTTTATTTTATTATTAATTGTATTAAATTTCGTTTATCTTTTTTGCATCTCTACTTCAATTGTTATTTTTATAGAATATAGTTAATTTGTTAAAGTAACCACATAATATTTCATAGATATAATCTGAACATTGTTAACTGTCAAACGGTAAGATTTATATATCTTTAAAGTTTAAATGGTACCTACTCGATTTTTTTTCTGTCACTGTATTTTGTCGTGTTGTCATAAATTCTTATTCAAATAATTATGCATAATAAGTTTACCCAAACCAGTATTATAATATTAAGTTAAGTACAAATGTACTCTGTAAATATATTTGAACATAATTTGGTTTCACATTCTACGAAATAAATACATTTACGAGAACATAAATCAAGCAATGTATATTTTATACTTGTACAGTAATATTATTTAAAAATAAATTTGGAATTATTATTGAATTTCATTTGAAATATAATTGATTTAAATCGTCTAACAGATAATCAAAAATATTAATTAAAATATTACATAAAACCATTTAAAATGCATTACGATTAAGAAATATCATACTATTTAAACCAACTATCACAGTTAAAAATACTATTCTTCCATGTAGGTACCTATTTACTTTATAGAATATAACTTTCTAGATTTATCACAATTAAAATTATAATTTATTCATACATATTTTATTTTATCAAGTAGGTAGATAATACTAATGTAAAATACGTAAACTTTATGAACATAATATTTTTTATAATTAATTAAATACATTCGTGATTTTATTTTTAAATATAGACGCAAGAAAAAGTATTACATTGGTATGTATACAAACGCTTTAAAATTTTATATTTATTTAGTTTATTTAGCATAATATTTTATTAGTACAATGTATAATTAATATTTACGTATTTAATTCTAGCTAAATCTTTTTTAAAATTTGTATTACGTGATTCGCTAACTTGGTTATCGTGGTTAGATTAAATTATAAAATATCAAATAAAATTTCCAAGGTTCAGATCACTACACGTTTAATTAATTTATTATGTTTTTGTACATTGTTACGAAGGTATATTATGTTTTGTATGATAAAAACTTTTGGTACAGCATAATTAATTGTACCTACGTCCTTCTGTATTTGAAATAGTTTAATTAGTATAATATTATTCACACATAATAATTTATTGTTCTATGAGCAATATGTATCATGGGAATATGGAATTAATATATATTTATTTATATAATATTATATTTAAACAACTATCATAAAATAAGACTTCATATCATGCAATACTCATATGTAAGAAATTTTCACGGATTTATTTTTGATCACAATATGTATTTAACATAGGACTTACGTTATTTGAAACTATAATTATATTTACGTATATTTTTACTCTAAACATTTTAGGGATCTTGAAAATAAAATTGTTATAATAAATATTTGTATATAAAATATAATATGTAATTAAACTTATGATTTAATCTTACTGGTTCAACTTTAAACTTTTCACGATTCGACTAATCTTATAAATTCCAATAGGTACATAACTTTAATAAGTGCTTCATTTCCTTCACCTATTTAGGTTCGATTAAAATACCTATATATGTTTAAATTTTATTGTTACGAGTTGTTGACTGTTGTACATAAAAATATACGAATGAATAGTAAACTGCAGTTAAATATATCGTGCATTTAAATTTTATTATAAGTTATAACTATTACTAACACATCGAAAAAACAAGATCTTCTTTGGTCTTAATGCTTCTTTTTTTTTTGGAAAAAGATAACAATTTATAATTTATTGTGGATTTCAAAACAATAAAAAATTATAATTTGTTTAAATATATTTATTACTAAGGTTTCTTCAAAAATATTTCATAGTTGTTAGTAGTATTTTCTCAGCATAATATAGGTTATTGAAATTTAAACATCATTTAATACTTACAAATATCAACTAAGTGACATTTCCAGTTAATAATTTACTAATATAATAAATTTAAATACTGCAGCTGTTTGTACAAACGTTAAAATAATTAATAACCAATATGGCCTAGTATAATATTTAATTATAAAATATAATATACAAAAAATGTTTACCCCCTACCTATCTAACTCTAAAATGTTGTGTTTTATACATTTTAGGTGCTAAAACTTGTGTTTAGTGTAGTCTTGGGTACATTCTTAAACGTGTAACATTCTATTTTCACTAAACGATTATTTTAACCTCATTATCTATTATTATAAGCACATAAAATTATAATTTATATGATATAATGTGATTCTGTGTTGAAAAAAAAAGAGCTTATTGATTAATTATTTCACCATAATAGTAATTGAATATTAACATCATTAATTTTAATTTACTTTCATTCAATAAATAAAATAAGATGTAAATATATTTGTAAATACTAAATACAATAATATTTTTCGCTGAAACATCTATGTACGCACAACTGATAAATGTATTGCTAATTAATGTTGTTGGTAACTACAGTATTATTAATAACTAATAACTGTTAAAATGTATTATAAAATCCATTCAAATATATACCGATGATCACACCAGTATAAATTCTAGACAATAATGAGAAATATGATTTCATGAGCTTGCTATCAGACCTTGAACTGGTATATAATACTATCCAATTATGAATACGAATGACTATTGAGATGATCCAAGATATAAAGAAATGATTTAAAACCCCTCTTGTTTCTTTTGATTTTAGTCAAAATAAGTAATTTACTAACTCAATTTTTTTTTATTCAATATAGGTATACGTTTGGAATGAGTTACTAATTTGGGAAATGCAAAAATGTATAAATATTCATTGTAAAAATTTCAAATACAAACCATGGTCAAACAGTATTTGAAAAAAATTTTGAAGTAGGCATATCTATAACTTATACATTTTTTGTTATTAAATATATCCAATTCTGACATTGAAACTATATAATGTTTATGAATCTGTGTTATAATTAGAATCGTCCAATACAATCTATAGTAAAATACCACTAAATTCGTAATTAATATTCCAAAATATTAACTTTTAAAAAACAATTGAATAGGAAGTTACCATTTAACTTTTTCAAACTAATTCTTTATTTTATGTGTAGAAAATTTAATATGCCCGGACAACTCTCTGTGTGGCCCGTATGCCTTTTCAGTGTCAATAAACCAGAAATTGGACGCAACAAGAATTCTCATACTTCCTCAAAAAGGTATTTTTTAAATGTTTGTCTACACTTCATTGTTTTTGGTAAATAATATTTCTGTGTTCAGATAATATTTATTCTCGCTAATGCTTGAAATCGATTATAAAACTAAATAATTTTTCGAACATATATTTTAAATACCCGATAAGTACAATTTGAATAATGCTTTTTAACACAGCGTGCATGGTATTTAAATTTATTAAAATTCTAAATTAAAACAATGCAGTAATTAAGATATTTGTTTTTAACTGCTTAATTAAAACAATATTATACAGTTGTATATAATATAATACTAATTCTTTACTTTTAAACATATTAAAACATTAATTAACATTGGGAGTGTTTTAGTTTAATGTTAAGTAAATATTAACTCAAGAATTTGAATTAATTATTAAAAATGATTACACATTTTATTAATTATTTCTATTTTACATAATGAAATATAATTATAAAAATGTATATAACGAGATCATGGCTACGTGTATAGGTGCTTGCTCAGTTATAAACTTAATTTTGAGAACTTTGGTTGGCGATCATTAAACATTCATCACGTTTCGAATTATTCAATTTTTTTATTAGATTTTTACTGATGCAATCATAGAGGTACATATTACACATCAGTTAATATTAATGTATTTTAGAAACACGTAAATTAAATGTGATATTTATGAACATTAATTTATGTATATGTATATATATTATATATCATTAATTCATTGTATTTTTTAATATTATATAAACTTCCTACTTGAAGCAAAACACGATTCCTGTATAAAATGGTGAACATATTTAAAACAATAAACTTCAGTTAACAACTATATATATATATATATAATACTTATAAATATGTAATGGATATACACATTTTAACTAGTTTCTCGAGTATAAATCTTCTTATAAATCTTGGTAACCTATACTCAGCTATATACTATACCATAACTTAATCTTGTGATGAGTTGTGGATGTACTGCACTGACTGCAGTTAACTCAAAGAACATTACGAAACAGTAATAATCACACATGTTTTTATGTTTTTATGCGATAGTTTATTAGTTATTAGTTATTACTAACACGTAAACCAAATATATTAACATGATAATTAATATATCCCTAGAAGCTATTGTTTTAGTTAGGTAATCAATAATCACTTATCACATATATTCAAAAAATTTAATATCGATTGTTTATTTTAAGAATAAAATTATAAAATATTTCGCATTATTTTTACCGGGGTTGAACTATTATTTTTCATGATACAATTAAAATTTATTACCATTTGTTCAGTTGATAATAATTTGTTCTATTTACTATAAATTATTATTTATTGAATGCCAATTTATAGCAGGCAGTATTATAATAAACAACAGACGTTAAAATATAATGACTTATACCTTGTACACAATATATTGTAATATAATAAAATTAATATTTTATTTGCAATCATATTGCCTCGATCTAAATAAAAACTGAAATATATTAGTTTGTATTTTGAATAATTTATAGTTAATATCTATACATTCCATCTAGTACTTACAGCAAAGAAATATTTAATACTATCAAAATAAAATAAATAATACGACGTCGGTCTATTTATCATGCTAAAAATTGTTTTACTTTATAGGTATATTATTAATGATATTTGTAAAAATTATCGATGATTATCTTTATTGCCGTCCGTGGTTTCAAAATTAAATTATATCATAAAGATTTGTTTAAAGTATTTTATCTCCATTGTTCTGCTCCGAATCTCGATAAACAGGTGTTATGAAAAAACTGCGATGAACAATGCAAGTAGGTAATAATATATGTAGGATGGATACATTTAAATATAGATATTAAATGCCAACAAATCAACTGTTTTATTAATAATAATAATAGATTACGATAAAAAAAAATGCTATGTGAAAATACATCCGGGGGATAATAATAAATGTTATTTGAACATTTATTTTAAATAGTTGTTTGTCGTATTTATGTTTTTTTTTTTTTTTTATAATATCATCAAAATAAAGTTTCTACTTTTCCCACCACTTTACAAATTTTATAGCTGCGACATAAAATTAGCTTAGACATTTGCATATAGTTTTGTATAAACTTAAGCAATACGTTTAAGTATTACTTAAATTAGACATTGATATATTTATTGGGCTTCATGAATATTAACCGGATATATTATGTGCATATAATGTTTAAACGTTATACTAAATACCGTAATAATTTCTTCTAGTTTAAAATAATATTTTCGTAAGAAACATTCTATCTTGTATGGTAATAAGGAATTCAAATAAAAATGTATTATATATATATATATATATAAATATGTACCTAGCCAGAAAATACAATTAAAAATGTTATTTATTTATTAAATGTATACGTACTTAAATTCCAATAACAATATGATTACTAAGAAGTTATACATTATGATTTATTACGTTATGATTCAAAAAATAAATGTACGAGTACATTCCTCAAATTCACAAAAATAATTCACAAGAAGTTTATTTTACTTCTATGAATTTTATTTACTTACCAAACAATAAGTATAAATTCTTAGAAAATTATTGTTATTTTCTATGAATTTGCTTTTAAAATCTATAGCCAGTATTTTATTTAAATGCACAACTAAAAACAAAAGAAAATATCTTTTTGGAATTCAAAATTCTTACGTCCAATAAATTACTGGTATACAATATTCTACGTAAATTATACACAATAGTTTAAAATGTAGACTAACCTTGCTCATAATAAATTGTAGTTTTAAAGTGCAATAATACTATATACTTATATTTTATAATTTTAAAATCAATTAAGGTTCATGATATATGAAAACATCCAAAATATAACTTAAAATCTCAAAATACCCAAAATCCGATGAATTTATCTATAATCGTTAAATAACCAATCTTAGTGTTTTGTTTGGTAGAAAATATTTCCTCAAATTCTTGAAATCGTGTAGATTTTAAATACATAAAATTAAATAGATACACGATTTTGCATGATTTTTATTGCAATGTACCCATAACATTCGTTTGCTCTCATTTTTATAAATTAAAAATATTATTATTTTTTTATATTTTCTATCTTTTTCAACAAAAAAAAAAAAATATATAAGTTATACAAATTAAATAAACTTTAAAAATATAGCATTGATACATAAATGATTGTCTTCGCTAGCTAGACTTGTGTAGACAAGGGTTCTTATAATAACCTATTTACACTTAACATTAAATATTTAAATCGATTGCACTTGATTCAGTAATGTTAAACTTATTTATATGCAATCATACAATTTCCAAATATTTTATAGTTATAGAATAAAAGTGTAATACAATTGGAGTAAAACTATAATATTATCCAAGCTAATAACTTATTTTTTTATCTATGACTTTTTTATAAAATCTAAATATTTTAAATCAATTAACATCTACTTGTATATTTAATCCCGTTGCTACTTAATTCCAGTATCAATGGGATATATTTTGCCAAATTCTGTTCTACGTAAGAGTTAAATACATATGTGTTTGTTTCGCTCTTATACAATAGTCATGTTTAAATTTAAATCTTTGATTATCAAGAAAAACATATTTGGCAATATATGTAGCACGTAGCCCATCTTATAATGTTTTTAAATAACATATTAACTACAAAATTTATAGTAATTTCAAACGAATTAAGATGTATATTAAAGCACCACCCCAACTCCTAATATCATATGAATAAATTAACTGAGCTTTAGTTATGACTTATGAAAACAATTCTCTTTCTCTTATAAATATATATATAATGTATGTTTTAATTAACATTTATATTATATACTTTATCTACTCGTATATAATTAAATGTATGAACTTTTAACATTTTATAACGCAACTATTATACAAAAAAAAAAAACAATGTATATTTTGGTGTCAACATTAATTTTATGAAATTGCATACAAAGTTAAGTACGATAACCGTAAAATATATCTTAAATCAAAAGTAACTAAATCATAATTCAAAATTAAAACACTTAATATAATAAATATTGTGTAACAATAATTTGTGTAGTTTTTTAACTCTTGAAATCATACGGATGCCACCATCACGAACCTAACAATAACATATTTTTCTAAAAGTTTTGATTATATTGGAGTTATCATATTTTTAGTATAACGGCAAAATGATTTATACTCTATTACAAGGGTTACCAATTAATATTTTTGAAGGGTTACATTAGGAATTTGAGCATTTTTCGCGGACTATCAAAATTCTAAGTATATATTTTTGATAATAAAAGGAATTATTTTAAAATTGTATGTAATGAGCACATTATTTTTTTATATATAAAAATATATTATTTATTCTTTGTCTACGGGACGGACAAAATTTGTTCGCGAACCGTATGCGGCCCATGAGGCCGTCATTTGGTGACCTCTGCTCAATTATTATAATAAACACCATTATGCGTTAAATTAATACATATTTGTTAAGCTTCGGTACTTATGGTAACATTTTTATAACTATTGTTTTACATGCCTATAGAATCATGTGTAATGTATATAAATGAAGAATAAAATTTACACGTTTTCCACAAATGTATTGAATCTTTCAAACAAAACACCGAGATTGACTGTTTGAAGAAAACTAAACATATTTCTTAGATGTTGAGTAGGTCATAGTTAATAGTATATCGTAGATATTTCGGTATTCGTTATATATATTTTATACATTGTAATATTCTAATAACCTATACAGAGCATACCTATAGTTATACTTATACATATTGTATTTTATTCTTTGTACATTTATTTATCACAAGCAAAAGTTGAAGTAAAAGTAACACTTTAATCTGCTTACATTATACTCGTATAATAAATACATTTGTTGCAATAATTTGTTGTTTCTCGTAATAAAAACTATGATTTCCGCGTTTGTTAAACGCAACCGGATGTATCAAAATATTATGTTTGGTCACGTGCCGAAATAATAGGTTTTGGCATTTTGCCTGCATGAATTCGTCGCTTGGC